TAGGAGCCAGTGCTCTTAACTTCTGCACCACCTCTCCAGCCTGTGCCATGAACTTTCACACATTTTTATTCTTCTTAGTTCTAACTAGGAAGCACCTGATTTCAAGTCCTTCTCAAGTGTTGCTTCCTGTGATGCCTTACCTGACTTAGAAAGGTTAGTGGCTTTCTCCACTATGACCCCTTACATACTTTATTCTTAAATCAGGGGATAATTTGCATATGATAAAATAATTTGTGATTGAATATATGTATACATTGGCCCTTGTGTACTCTAGTGTCAACCCTCTCCTGCCAAAACAAAACATTTCCTTCCCCCCAGTGGTTGCTTTTCCTCCTTTCAAGTCACTCCACACTGACACAACCAGTGGCTCTCATTACTATCAATCAGAGATAAATTTTGCTTGTTTGGGGCCATCAGAATGACTCAAAGGATAAAGGTGCTTGCCACATAAGCCTGGTGTCCTAAGTTCAATTCCCAGAACCCATGTAAAAGTAGGAGAGAACTGACTCAACAAACTTGTCCTCTGATCTCCACATGCCATTATGACTTACATGCCCCTTCCCTAGATACACCCCCATATATATATTGAATATATATATTGAATATATATTCAAAAATAGTTTGCTTATTTTTGAACTTTATATAACTAGAACAACATGATGTGTACTTCTGTCTCTGGCTTCTTTTGCCCAACAATTTCCTGAGATTCATTTATTTTCACAAATATCGGTATCTACAAATTTAATTGCTGAATAGAATTCAGTTTTGTGCATATGCCATTATTTGTTTAGCCATTCTTCTATAATGGACAGCACAGCATCATGTTCAGGTTACTATATGTTATAGTTAGTGGCTTTTATCTCCCTAAATGAGCTCATTGATACAGAGATCCTGTCTAAATCATGCTAGAATCCCCATCACTTACTCTGCACTTAACAGACAATAGTTGCTCATTAAGTCTTGTTTTCAAATGAGATGGTATATGTGAAAGTCAGTTGAAAATGACTTTAATAGATAGGAAGGATGCTATCTTCATTTCACCAGTGGTTAAGAGAATGTTAAGCTCCCGAGCTGTGTTTGTTAATGGCTACATGGCCCTCCATGGATTCAAATGGTTCTATGTAAGTCATAAGAAGAGACACTAAGATATATGAGACCTGGTGTGTAACATGAAAAAAAAGACCCAGAGTCTGATATTGGGGTTCAAACTTCAAGTTGAAGATCAGAAAAGCAAAGCAGCCAAGCCAGTAGATCTTACCTCTCTCCAGATGAAATGGCAATCCTTGTTTCCACAAATCTTCAGCGATAAAAGGCTCTCACCAAGCCTCAGACTGCTGCCTCTCCTCAGTGTGGCTGGAGAATCAATCTCCATACAAGACCCTTTGCTTTTTATACCTCCCTAGTGTTGGGATTAAAGGTGTGTTATCCCAAATCTGAAATCATCTTTGTGTGACCTGACTGGATCAATTTTGTGCAGTCAGTGTGGCCTTGAACTAACAGAGATCCATCTACCTCTTAATCCTGAGTCCTGGGATTAAAGGTGTGTGCCACCACTGCCTAACTTCTATAGCTAACTAGTATAGCTGTTTTGCTAATTTGATCTCTAGTAGCTTTAATAAATCATAAACAATATATCACCATACTGGTGTAGTCAGATATACTAACTAGTTATGTTATATATGTCACTAGATGAGTCTTTGCTTCTTCAAGAGAAGCCTGGTTGACTCTATCATCACTGAATAGCTGTAGAGGTCTCAGTATGTCCTTGAACCCAGGATCCTGTGTTTGTTGGGCATATTGTAGACAATTGAAAGAGTTAATGTTTGAAAGAAGTGAACTCAAGTAGAAATGATGAGTTTGACTTCCAGTATTGAGAGGTCATAGCTGGGCAAATGCGTAGAGATCATACTTCTTCCCATAGTAGTCCAAGGGAAGGGTGAGGCCAGCCCTGGCCAAACCTCTCCTGCTTGGTGGCCAGGAGGAGATCAGGTATGGTTGCCTATATCTGGTTGCCCTTTTCCCCATGTCTATTGAGTTATGCAATTACTATACTAAGGCTTGTATTTAAAGTGTAAATTCTTGGCATACATGGGAAAAGCAAGATAATGAATATACCCACCAGTTCAACCACTTCTCATATACTTTAAATTATGCTCATATAATCCTTACACACACACACACACACACACACACACACACACACACACACACACGGAGGGAAGGAGGGAGGGAGGGAGGGAGAGGCAGGCAGACAGAAAGGGAAAGAGAGAAAAAGAGAGAAATGAAATGTTTTTTTAAAAGATGCTTTGATGTGGTCTGTAGAGGGGACCCTCGTTCTGAAGACCATGATGCTCTTTAGCTAGCTAGATACTTGTTTCCTACTTAGAAGATGGAGGCAGTACTCCACCTTTCCCTGGGTGATTGCATCATGGAACAAAAGTACATTGAAGCAGTCAGGCTGTTCAAGGAAATACCAAATTGCTAGTTGACCTACAGTCATAATGATACAGTCAAATGTATGTCACCTGATGACAAATACTTTTATGGTGAATCATTCAGTGCAGTAAAGCAGTTTGGTCCTTATCTGTGCCAAGTCGTTATATAATGAAGGGGCATAAGTGGAACAGGGTTCTTCCCATGACATCTAGCCTCACATCTCCCTGCAATCTTTCAACTGTCAAATCTGAGTCACAAGAGCTATGGTGAGCCTCTGACTGGATGACCTTAAAAGTGGATGGCAGCTCAACGTGACCATACCCAGATCTATCCTGCAGATGGTGACTAAGGATTGTGCAGATTCCCCAGAGGTCTCCATTGCTTCTGGGAGTGGGCCTTGTGAGATTTGTGAGTCCCTGAAGGAGCACCACTCTCTCAACACAAGGCAGATCCATAGTGAACAATGGAAGCAACAGAGTTCATGTGTGCATGACTCTGCTAGAACCTAGCCTCTTCAGTCTGATGGGCACCCAGAGTCTAGAAATGCCTTGTAGATGGAAGGACCTAGGAGGTGGGAGGACTTCAGGAGATGGGAAGAGGGAGGGAAGGTAGAGGCTGTGCTGAGGATCATCAGGTACCAGCTACAGTGGGAGTTAGCAAAAGCACTCCTCAGCACATGGACCCTCCAGGCAGTGTCTAGGGTCAGGAGGGCTGGGAAGCTACTGATACTAAAGGAAGAAATAGGAGGAGAGGAGGAACCAAGTCCAAGGTCTGGTACTAACATGCTCACCTTGGCTTGATTTTCCTTGTCCTGTCTTCTTCTCTGGTATCCTCTATAATCTGTCTCCCATCTCCAATCTTCTAACCTCAAGTTGATCCTCTAGGCCTGCCCTCCCTGTGCATGGTGACATGTAAATTATACAACAGGTTTTTAAGATAGATGATAATATAATTGAAATATCCCATTTAAGTACCGATTACATATTGGAATCACACTATCTTAGGTCCGTTGAATTATATGAGATTATTAAAATGTTACTGGTTTCTTTATCCCTTTTTTCGTGAATTCTAGAGAGTCTAAATTGTGTTGTGTGTGAATTATATTTTTTTCTCTATTGGATGGTACATTCATGGTCCTTTGGTTTGGGGATGCCTCCTCCTTTCTATCCATCTGTTCAAATCTATTTTGTTTTTTCAAGACGGGGCCTCATTATGTAGTCAAGGCTGGTCTTGAACTCTTGATCCTCCTTACCTCAGCCTCCCAAGGGCCAGGAACACAAGCACCCTGTGATTTTTCTTCCAGGCCCAGCTTAGGTAGTTTTAGCTGTATTTGGAGGAGGGAATGATCTTGCTGAAAGGAGGGATTGAATGTTTTATGCCGCTAGTAGCTCTCACCTCCATGCCTTCCTGGCTTAACCCAGATGAGTGTTGATTTTATAGAACAGGGAGAAAGGCTGTGGAGAGAGGAGTTACTCACTTCCCGATGCTGAAGTGTCTTCCTGGCTTCCTGCCTAGAGGCATGAGAGCAAGTCCAAAGCATGAGCTTTTCAGGGAGCTCTGTGTCTTGCTCCCCACCTGTCTGCATCCCTGCAAGTGCCCATGACACCTGGAAGGATGGCAAAGCGGAGAGCTGGAGAATGCCTTGGTTCCCAATAAAGCCACCATCAATACCCATGGTGTGTAATGTTTCTAATCCAGTGCTGGGTCAGCTGCTGGGTCACCTCCTAGAGCATGTTATTCATGGATAGTTCACTGTTACAGAGTGAAAATTAGAGGTTTCTCTAAATAACTCACACAAACAATGATAAGACCTATTGTAACCTGCACAGTACCTCCTCTTTAGCAAAGCAGTATGTGAAATCTGGATTTAGACAAAAGGTTATTTGGAGGTGATAGTATGTTTTGTGAAAGGATCCAAAATAAGGAAACGGCAGCCAAGAGAGGCCATCCATCTACTGATTGCAGTATTCACAGGGTAAGAAGAGACACAGACATATTCCCTATAGTTATAGCCCTTTGGTTCGGGATACCTCCTCTTTTTCCATTCACCTGTTCAAATCTGATATGGATATGGGTACCCAAAAGCAATAAGAGGTGTTGAATTCCCTGGACCTGGAGTCACAGGTGATTGTGAGGCACTGGACATGGGTATTAACTAAACCTCAGTTCTTTGCGAGAGCATCAAATGCTCTTAACTGCTTGGCCATCTCTCCAGTCCCTGGTCTTTGGCCTCCTGATGTTTCTGTCACAGCCTCTCAATGGCTGGGAAAGCAGGCATCCTGTGACTTGTTCTTCAAGGCTCAGCTTATACCCTGTTTCCCTCCTAAGCCCTCCCCTAATTACTCTGAATTTTCCAGCCTCACTAATAAGCAGCTACATGACTCAGAGCTTCACACATCATATATCTTTATACCTTCCATCCTGAGTGATTAAGTCCATCTGTATATTTTCCTTATCCAGATTCTAAGAGCTAGATGCAAATGACGAGATCATTTGTTCTCCTTAGTTACTCATCACCAATAGAAATGCTCCATACACTCTTACCTTTGGGGGAAAAATCAGTCTGATGTGAAAAATATTTTTATTACAATTTCTTGTATTTTCAGTGTATGTCTTCATTACAATCATTGGTACAATAAATATAGAAGTGCTAAACAGGCCATCATCACAGTGGTCTATGGGATGAGAGGCACGGGGACCCAGGGATACTATTCCCTCAGGGCTGATCAGGAGGCCTTCAAAGAGTGTTGAGAGGAAGAGGAATAGAAATATGATTAAGACAGTAAGTGAAACAAATTCTAGAATGCCTATTAAAGCCATGGGTGCAGGCCTTCCTATAATAGGGACAGCGAGACTGTAATTCTCCCATTAGAGGCAGGGGACAGACTGCAGAAACCAGTGCCTCCCCGTGTCCCCAGTGCATGCCCCACCTGCCCGTGCCTTGTGTTGATCTTCTTCACCTGCCATGTGCCCAGCCCTGTGCCCGCCCAGGCTCTCCTAGGCACCCACCTTACACCTCACACAGGCGAGTTAAGGAGTGTAAGGTGAGCTGTGCATCACACACCACAGGACCGGGTTCCCTCAGGGGTGGCCAGGCATCCAGAGTGTTTGGGAATATGGAGAAAGCTGCATCTTCAAAAGTTAAAGGTCCACAGCACTGATTCTCGGCACACTCTTTCTGCCTCCCTGGCTTTGTTTCGTCTCAGCCATGAGGGTTGAACGGAGACTGAATGTCTGGGCCATGCTGAATGGGAAGAGGGAAGGAGAAATGCCACTGTTTTCACCTCTTAGCATATCTCCTTTTATGCTCAGTCCTCAGGTCAGGTATGACGATCTCGCTGTGCTCTCACTTAACTTGTCAGTATATAATTGAGACAGTCTTGCTGTCCCAGAGTGCTTTATGCTAGCACTGGCTGACAATTCTGGCTCTCTGAGTTGTGTCGCTTCTTCTTGATGGTTGTCCTTACTGTGGTGATACCATCAGGCATGTCAGTTGCAAGGCTAGGGTGGCATCCAGACTCCAAGGCTGTCAGAGAGCCCATGTGCATGCACATACACTGCACACACGGCCAAGCCTCCATTGGGTCACCTGTAACCCTGTTCAGCGAATTATACTACAAAGACATAGGGATTGCCATTATGAAAAGTTATAATGGTAGAAAAAGATTTTTAGCAAGTCAGAGGAAGGGGTAGAAGGAAAAAGATACAAAAACAAAAAACCTTGTGCTTCAAGAGGACATTCCATGCTGTCAAAATGAGATTAAATAGGAGAACTCCCTGTGCTAGCAATCAGGGGCTGGAGCTGACTGCTCTCCACAGGGTATCACCTCTGTGGGAAGAACATGAAGAAGGAATTAAGTATTCTCAGAAACCGTGTGACTGAGTGGAGAGAACAGGGAAAACCTTGGGAACATTCTGTTGATTTTGGTACTTAAATACCAGGATCTGGTTTGGCTCTACGCAGGTAGCTTCCTGCTTTGATAGTATGAAATACATGTTGACTAAACATCGTTTAGACTTGCCCACAGGCAGAGGAGTAGAGATATCAGACAAGGTAGAGCTGGCATTTGGGCGAAAGAGACAAAGCTGTAGAGTAGTCTTGCTTCTGTCTGTTTCCCGTGGATTCACAACAGACAGATCATTCCACAAGTCACATCTACTGCAGGAGAGAGAAAGCAACTCACTTCCTAGCAGCGGAGAGGAGGGTAAAGCTCAACTGCCCTCCTGGGGTTAGCAGGCGGTAACTTAGACTCAGTTTCTTTCACTGTGTCTTGATTCTAGTTCTGACTCCAAAGGAAGACTTCCGGACAATGCATGCCTTCCCCGTCCCTCTGTTTCTTTTTCTCTGGGTCCTCTTTATCCCCACTAAGAAACAGAACTTGAGCCTGCATTGCTGAAAGGTTTGGTCAATGTCTCTAACCCAAAAGACGGGACTGTGGAAATGCCCTAGTGTATTATAGTTTTTTCACTTTTTTCTGATAATCTGATGTTTTCTGTCTCGGTTCTTCCCCATAGGCATGAGGTCAAGCTGGAGGGTCTGTCAGGGCAGAAGGAAATCCAAGGAAACTGATGTTCAAACGTATCACCTGAGCAAAGGGTTTGGAGGTTAGAGAATAACTAGGATGTCCAAGGCTCTGGGAATGTGTCAAGATGAACCCGGGATGCAAGTATTTTCCATACTGTAATAGCCCACAAGCAGGTTAGGTTTGTGAGCCAGAATTCAGAATCTTTAGCCATCTCGTCTAGCTAGAGCAATCCACTGAGATCTCCTGTCCCCTAGTTCAGTTCATCACACTCACTGGTCCCCCTGGGGTGGCTGTGACAGCAGAACATGGGAAGCCCAGCCGGAAGCCTCACAGGAGTCTGGGGAAGGGGTAACAGTTGAGCTCCAGAGAACACCTTGAGGTATTTCAAGTGTCCAGAGAGCCAAAGTATGTAGTGTCCAAAGCAAGGTCCTTTCTTGGATGTCTGAGAGTGCCAGGGACCTCAGGCGTGGGCCTCAGTCTCCTTCTTGATGGCTGGCTTATAAATGACTCCCTTGTTGTCACCTTTTTTGCTACAGGAACAATAAGAACACAAGTCTTTGTTAGTTAAAAAGGAGAGAGAAGGAGCCAGAGAGCAGCCTGGCTCAGGTATGGAATGGAGGAGTTTTAAAGGTCCGGATTCCTCTCTGGGGGACCTTTCCCAGGTCTGTTGGTCTTGGGAGAGAATGGTGTCACATCAAGTGTTAGCTAAACCAGAACCTATTATTTTTCTGTTTTTAAGGCCTGGTCATACTAGGCTTGCATTCTGAAGCAGGTGTCATTATTACCCCCACTTCAAACTTCTGATGCCATAATTGGAAACCTTATTTTCCATACCAAGAAAAATAAATTGTCTTAGGAAAAGCCAAGCATGGTAATAAAACTACAGGCAAAGGCATTTATAGCTAATGTGAGTAAGAGATCAGGTTTTTCTTCATTTGTCTTGATGCAAAGACAAACACAAGTCAGAAGACTTGTCTAAGGCCTCACGGCTCACTAGTAACGGCACAAGGCTGGCAGAGTCACCTCCACACCTGAGCACAGTAACCTTTACATAACCAGTGTTTCATGTGAGGACCTGGACACTGGTGTTTGGAGACCAGCACTCCTAAGACAGTGTGGGTTACACAACAGAGCTCTTCCTTCTGCAAAGTTGTCTCACCAGACAGACCAATCACCATGGGCACACAAGTGGCACATTCAGAATGGGAATTCTAAATCCAAACCAACTCACCTCTTCTTCCTTCTGAAGAGCCAAACAGATACTGCCAGAACAATGGAGATGCCAAGAACACCAGCCAGGGCCACGGAAAGGATGACACCTGGTGAGGAGGCAGGGAACACATGTCACATTCCTCCCTTTTCCTCATCTGAGTCCATAGCACACGGCTATGAAATTATGTCCTCGCTCTATGGTTGTCCTCAGAACATTGTGATTTCCCACCTCTGTTCTCAGATTCCAGCCTCTGGCTTTGTGAGACTGACTGGCTGGAGGACTTAGAAAGGCGTCTACAAATTGCAGTGGTTTTTCAGCAGGGGTTCTCAAACTTGCACAAGGATCATCTGAGGGTCATGTCAGCATCATCTGAGGATCATGTTTACAATGTAGACTTTCCAAAAGGTCAGTCCTCAGCGACTTGGTTTAGTCTGCTGGACCTGGGACCCAGGAATCTGCATTTTATTTTCAAACATCTCCAGCTGACGTTGATGCTGATGCTTGTGGTCTATGAACCACACTTTGAGAAACCCTGGGCTACGGAGTAAGATCTCAGTCTACTTTTGCTTGCAGGATGTAAGGTCTCTTGGGATGATTCTATAAATGTTGCCCCCAATTTTCATTGCAGTCCCAAACAACCAACCCCATGGTCAAGGTCATGTGACCAGTCACCTGACCTTAGGTTTAGGTGTGGTTTTAGGCAATCAATGCCCTCCAACCTTAATGAACAGAATGTCTTAAATAGGATCTTTGCATACACACCACAGAGTGATTCAGTCTTTTCATTAGAGAAACATTTGATTGGCAGTTCATTTTTTAATTAGAGAGCAGCTTGAGGGATACCGGAAGCCAAAGCAACAGCAGAGAAGCAGGAAGATGGACTGAAAGAATCACAGGCCCAGATCACACTGAAAATCACAGGATCACCCAGCTGTAACATGCACACTCAGGAGACCACATACCCAAACTCAGTCCTGTGTCGGTAAGGAGTCCTACTTCAAAGGGGAGGGGGAGAAAAGATTGGAAGTTAATCTAGAGCCAGACCATGATGGATCTGACCAGTGCATAGCATAAAACTCTTTTATTGTTGGTTGGTATTCCAGGGCTTATTCAGATTTGGGAGATGGTTACCCTTGTTTTATTTATTTTTGTTTTTTTGTTTGGTTTTTCGAGACAGGGTTTCTCTGTATTGTTTTGGAGGCTGTCCTGGAACTAGCTCTGTAGACCAGGCTGGCCTCGAACTCACAGAGATCTGCCTGCCTCTGCCTCCCGAGTGCTGGGATTAAAGGTGTGCACCACCAACGCCCGGCAATGGTTACCCTTGTCACAGGTTGATGGGGTAGGGGGATCCATCCTGTTTTCTCCTCCATCCCCCATTCCTTTTGCACTGTCACTTTCTTTGCTAGGGCAAAACTTCACTTTTTGGCAAAGAGAGGCAAAGAGAAGATGGGTAAGAATCAGTCTACTTTGGCAGGTTTTCTGTTTCTCTATTACCTGCCTTTCCCTGTAGGGAACCTGCCACCAGCTTTCTCCCTTCCCACACCTATTCTAACATCATGGTTTGGTTCTTTTCCATTTCTGCTTGGTCTTACTGGACAAACTCTTCTACTATACCAACCTATCATCTCTACTTCACGAGACTGGGGTATTATGACTTCCCCCTAGGAGTCACTATTAGGAATAAGTAGGATGAGTTTAGAGTTCTGTGTGGGGCCCAGCCATCAAAGGTAAAACCCCACAGCCTGCTAGGGATTTCCAAGGGCATAGTCACCTGTGACTGCATCTTTCTGAATAAACAGAGGAACCTAATTACAACACCTTCCCTGAGCAGCCCCTAGCCCGCTTCCTCTAGGTTCTTACTACTCTTCCTCTTTCTCTCAGTCATCTAAAGAAGTCTGTTTACACACACCCTTTTCTCAGGTGGTTTTTAGAAACTTTACAAAGCGTGTGTGTGTGTGTGTGTGTGTGTGTGTGTGTGTGCGCGCGCGCGAGCGTGCGCGCGCCTCCCTGCCTGCTTGCTGTCTATTTGTGGTGTTTTTCTAACCCACACTGGAAGCCTGAGTTTGACAGGCTGTGGTAACCCCGTCTGACACACAGAGATAGCACAGAGATACCCTGCACCTGTAAAGCCCACCATAGAAGCCAAGACTCTAGGTAAGCCCAGGCCAAGTGTGAGGTGTCCGCAGAGGGTCATAATTCACCCTTGGGGCTTTCAACATATTGAGGCACAAGACCTGCAGGGTAAGGTTTTGCTTACCTGCCTTCTCCTATCATGTGGCTGGAATCTGGCTGATTCCCCAGGAGCTGTAATACCTGTATCCTTCTCTACTGTCCTGCAATTTCACATCTAGCCTGCCAAGCCTGAGACAAGTCTGCACCTGAGTGGCCCTGGCTGCTGTGAGAGTAAACTGAGTAGACATGAGGAGGGTGTCCCCAACAGTGCCTGTTCTGACTGGCCACCACCAGTAGTTCATAGCTCTTAGGTAGCTCCCCTGGTCAGATTGCCTGCCCAGGCCTCCCTGGTAAGCTGAGCACGGGGAACAATGTATGGCTCAAGACACATGTAGGGCAGGTTTCCACCCAGGGAGAATTTCATACTTCTCCAGTGCCTACTGTGTGCTCCTTCTAGCCTGGGCCCCCAGAACAGTACAACTTGGTATTTGAGTTTGCTGATTTTTGCTTTTGTTTTGTTTTATGGTACTCAAAGACCTAGTTCATTTCTATCTTAAACAAACTCTGGGTGTTTCTTCTCTAGTCCTTTGATGAAACCCACTTTTGTTCCTCAAGCCCCAGAAGCTCAAAGTGATGATCTAGCCACATAAGCCTGTCACTAGCAAGCCACCTGGCTAAGTTGTTCAATTTGGGTCATGCCTTTCACAGTCACCATAAACAAGTGAGAGTCACATGGGACCAAACAGCTGAGCACTCCGACCACACTGCTGAAGGAGTCATCTGTGTACTGTGGACTTGGATTGCTGAGCAAAGCCCACGGGGATCTAGGTCCTAGAGTGATACTTTTCTCCAGAACGGTCCAGCTTGGTGGCTTCTCTGGAGGAACAGTCTAGCATGTCCTTGCTTGCTCTGCAGGATTTTGACAATGGCGTAACTGGATTCAGTGCTCCAACCCAAGTTTTTCACTCCTGGGTGGACTCTGTCAGGGACTAAATGGTCTCTCCTTGGAAACAATGATGTGAGCACAAATAGCAGTGAAGACAGAGAAAGTTCCAGAGACTGGAATAAGTGAATTTTCAGCTAAGACTTTGATGTTGCAAAAAAGTAAAGCAGCTAATGTGCCAAGGAAGAAAATACTGGCAAGGGTGTCACTGTAATGGTTCTACCTCCGTATGATGCCCAGGGCAGGAAGATGTGGGTAAAATGCCATCCTACCAGTTTAGGCAGCACCAACCAAGGTCTACAGAAAAAGACCCTGCTTAATGGGTTACAGGCCCACTGAAGATAGGGCCAAAGCATCTGCTAACTAAACAGCCACGGAGCTAGCAATGAGATTTTCAGGGTATAGGGAGAAATGCTGAGATAATTTGAGAACTGAAGCAAGAAAAAAAGAAGGCTAGGTATTTGTCGGCAGAGGCTCAGCCAGGGGAGACTAGTCTCTGGGCAACTGGAGTACAGGCACGAAAGATGACATAGGATGGACAGAGCTGGAGAAGGGTACATTCAGCTTAAACAAAGAAATTGGTTGTTTCCAAACAGGGACAATGACGTGTAGTTCCTAAAGAAAAATGATGACAGATGGGGAAAATGGAGACAGGCTTGCTCTCAGAGGTGACCCATGACAGCCAGCTGACCATAACCCAGCAGAAAAGACTCCTGAGATAGATGATAACTCAAGCTGAGAAGATGGGGGAGTGCTGCCTACTAAGTGCCTCCATAGAGCACTTGGGTACCAGCCACAGGGAGCAGAGATAGGGCAATATGACACACAAAAGGAAGTTGCGCATAGGTACAGACAGCAGCACTGTCCATGAAGGTAGGACACCTGGAGAAGGTCAGGAACTGCTGGACACAAAGGCTTTGCTACCTGGACCAGCTGGCTCAGGAGCTGCATCTTCCACTGGCGTCTGGCTGCCCCGAGGATGCTGGTTAACTGCTCTTGAGGTGCTCTGAAGCCTCAAGCACAAACACAGACAAGTCCAGCCCGAAGGGCAAGCACTCATTTACACATCTTGGAGTACCTGGAACAACAGTCTAGTATTCTCTAGTTCCATTTTCAATTCTGTTTAATTGTGGGATGAAATCTCTTATTTCAAAGTCCTGCCAAAGCATGGACTGTTCTCAAAGACAACATAGGCCAGTCTTCAGTGGTCTCCAGTCTTATGAAAGAAGCCAGGAGAGTTTATGTTTACCAGGGGTTTGACTGCTTAAGAACATGACATTGACTTAGAGTGATGACAAGTTCCCCTTAGCGTGTGATGTTATAAGCCATAGAGTCAAATGACTGTAGTGCTAGTGTTCTCTTCAAATAGTACTTTGCTTAGGAAAATGTTCTCAGTGACCAAGCACACATTATTATCTTTGGACGGTATTTTTAACCTGGCATTGTTTTTCATCAACCCTATACAACCCAGTGAGGAAATAACTTCTACAAAGAAATCTGTCAAAAAGGCACCACTAGACAGATAAAAAAGTAGCTGACTTATAAAACTATGATTGAAATGGAAAACTTTGTCTCCCAAATTGCAAGCATGCCTGCCACACTGCTCTGATCCAGGTGCCATGCCAGCTCTTGTTGCATTCATTCAGTGGCCCAGGCCGTCAGGGCTTAAGGGGTGTTGGCTAATAGGACGGGGAGCTTATACCCTGTCATTTCAGAGCAGCAAAAAGTGTGACATCAGTTGGCAACTTCCTCCAGGCCTTACAAACTCAATTGCAAGTTCCAGTCTTGAATTTCCCTTACATATGTTTCTATTTTAACATTGTTTGCAAACTTAGAATAGAGAAAAGTAAGACTTGAAATTTGACAACTGGCCAGGCATATGTGTAAACCATTCTAGATAGAAGATATGGGGAGGAAAGGGGAAAGGAAACAATCAGTTATATTCTTTCAGCAAGCTTATAGCATGCACTGGGCATAGTGCCAGGAATAAAGAATGAATGATCATGAGACATCAGACATCCTTTCTGTAAGGATGCAAATGTATCCTGTATAATGTTCTCTCACTCACTCACTCACTCTCTCTCTCTCTCTCTCTCTCTCTCTCTCTCTCTCTCTCTGTGTGTGTGTGTGTGTGTGTTTACTGTATTGTAATAAATACAGTAATATGGTTGGTATACTACACTAGAGATGATAAGTCAGATAAAAGAGGATGGTAAGCCAACTCCAGGGTAGTAGGGAGGGCTTATGAGAGAGTGTGACTAAAGTTGAGTCCTAAAAGAACTTTGTGAACGTGAGAGAGCCACTCCAGTCAAGAGGAATAGTGTATGTGCCCTCCCTGTTTTAGGAGGCCCTGCAGTGTGGGGGGCTGAGGCTTCGAGGACAGGGATGGGGCCACTGAGAGCTGACGGAGAATCAGCCGGGGGCCTCATAGGAAGGGATACAGCCTTCTGCCTGGCCCACTTCCCAGCTGTTGTTCCTGAACTCAGCCTGCTCTGTGTCATGGGCTTGTCATCAGGAGCAAGGAATGCTTGGGGCTGGGGTTGGTGTTTGTTTGTCTCTGTCCCCACAGTGCACAGCAGGGCCATGGTAAGAAAACTCGGTGTGTTGAGGGGACTGGGACTTCACTCCTTAGCACATTTGATGATTGCCACTGACAGTTCAGACTGTCTAGCATTCTCTAGTTCCACTTTCAATTCTGTTTAATTGTGGGATGAAATCTCTTATTTCAAAGTCCTGCCAAAGCATGGACTGTTCTCATAGACAACATATTCCAGGTCTAGGCATTTGAAGGTAGGAACTTCTCTGATTTGTCACTGGATGCCTTGGAAGAACTGATGATACTCTTCCATCTAATAGTTTTTATTTATAAACAGAAACTGG